TTGATTCCCGCTCACGGTCACCAACACCGGTGACGATTCTCATCTGAAGCGGTCCTGGGACCTCCCCTAGGTCGACTCAGCCTCAATTGAGTACCTGGCGGGGTGTGCAGTGAACATCGCCACGAGGGAGACAAAGGCGGCCGGGCGTGGTGCTGGCCACCCACCCCACCCCTCGTGTGCCGTGCCGGTGGTAAATGTTGTGGATTTGCTCTCCAAACACAACCGGTGATGCTGTACCAGTAACGATTTGGCCACGTTCTGTTTATGTGGCTGTGTCGGGTGGTGGCGGGTTTCACGACACGTATTTACATATTTACGTGATCTAAGAGGCCGTCCATAAATGACGTCACGCACCTGGGGGGGTGGGGGGGGGGTCAGACGTTTGTGACGATGTGTGACGAGGGGGGGGGGGGGGGGTGAGAAATGTGACGTCACATCAAAATGCGCAACTTTAAATAAATATAGACAACGCGTTCTACTTAATTAAATAGACTTTTTAAATAAATGTTTTCTACCTACAACATCAGAGTGTAGCGCCGCATTCAATACGCACTACAATGGCAATTGCAAACATGATGCCTTGAATAAAGGTGTCAGTGTTTGTGCCAGTTAAAATGGTAAAACCTATTTCTATACAATGACAATAGTTTAAAGCGATTTGAAGCAGGTTTTATATATTTTGGGGGGGGGGGGGGGGGGGGGGGAGGACCCACGTTGTCGAAGCGGCTTTGTCATTCGCGATGGACAGGGTCGCTTTTGGGAAAAAAAGACTACTAAGTTCAGGGAATTCATAATAAAGGTTTTTGGGTTAGATCGCGTTATTTATAAATGTGTCGTAACCCTCCACCACCCGACACGGCCAATCAGCAAAAAAAGTGTCACGTTGACAAAAGACAAATAGTTCACTACTTTAGCCCACCGGTGTGTTGAAGAGTGAATCCACAACATTTACAGTTTGAGTACGACGTTTCGCTGGTAAATACATCCCAGCATCATCGGGCAATTCGCCATTCTGCTGATTGGCCGTGTCGGGTGGTGGAGGGTTACGACACATTTATAAATAACGCGATCTAACCCAAAAACCTTTATTATGAATAATATTGGTCGCGAAAGCCTACGTGTTAAACTAAGTTCAGGGAATGGTTGAGCGTCGCATTCGCACCCGTGTTGTGGCTGATTCCTTCACCTCCCTCCTGTACTTTGCACCGCTTTCGCGAGCTTGTCCTGCTTGCCGTTACAACGTCCTCAACCACGTGGCCGTTTCAACAACAACAACAACAACAAACAGCAAGGCCAAAGAGCTTGATGGCTCATCGGATTCCGCCTGCAAACTTTTCGATAAATATTTCTGGTTTAAAGAAGCCTCTCTTAATGTTCGACGGCTTGTGCACCAGATCTTGTTTATTCGCGATGTACTTACAAAAAAAATCCGCAAGACTACCTGCTGCTGGATCTTCTCTCTGTTTCAAAGAACAAATTTGACCTCAGGTCTTCGCTCATTTACCAGCTTCACATTCCCTATTGCCGTACAACAACTGGAGGAAGGGCCTTTGCTATTGATGCCCCCAGGGTCTGGAATGCTATTGCCAATAAACTGCAACTTAAATCGCTACCAATGAGATCTTCTCTCAAAACTGCTCTAGAGGAGTTGTACACCCCTAGCTGCCACTGCTATTCATTGGCGTAAAATACAATAAAATGTTTCTCTCCGGATGAGCGCTGCAAAGTATTATCTGTATTTTGATTTAGCGTGCTGATCTTAAAGGTGCATTGAAAAATTTGATACTCCGACTGATGCTCCTGTTGTTGTGGAGTAACTCATGCAGCCAGCTATGGCTCCAGGATTTGGTGTTACATGTTATTTATGTAGTTTATTGTAAAAATTCGGTCACAGTTACGTTGCAATTATGGCTTTTTGGTGATTTCGAAAAGTTTTTTGGTTTGGACATGTTTGTTATGTTGTAGTACGGAGTTAGACTGATGGCCTTAATCTAAGTTTTATTGTGGTTGTTGTTGTTTGACTTGCATCCCACTGGGATTTTTTTGCACACAGCGTTGGTGTACGGTGCTATTTTCAGGAATATTTTGCTGTTTTTTTCATGGATTTTCTGTTTGCACAGTCACACATAGTCACTTTAAGATGTTTTCTTGTTCGTGTTTTTTTTTGTTTGTTGTGGTTGCACCCGATTCAAGGGCCGAATGGCTCACAGGGCTATACCAAAATAAATAAACTGAAACTCCCTCCCGTTGTGCGTGGATGGGCTGGGTGGGAAGCCTGTGGGTGGGGTAGTGGTGGGTGGGGAGTGGGGAGGGCTAACGTCAAGGCTGCTGTGTATAGGTTCTGAAGATAGAGGTGGTGGTGGGGGTGGTGTTAGTGGCTGCCTTGCGTGTTTACAGGGAGTGTAACTCTACTGTACTTTGGGGGCTTAGTGCTGGCGGGAGATGGGACCTTGGCACGATGGAGTAGGGTGGTTCGATGGCACTTGCCCCAAAAGTCTGTTAAAGGCTACACGGGGGATCTTTGTCTTTGTACGAGGGGGTGATCTCTAACAGCACTTGCCCTAAAAGTATGTTAAAGGCTACACGGGGGATCTTTGTCTTTGTACGAGGGGGTGTTCTCTAACAGCACTTGCCCCAAAAGTCTGTTAAAGGCTACACGGGGGATCTTTGTCTTTGTACGAGGGAGTGATCTCTAACAGCACTTGCCCGAAAGGTTTGTTAAAGGCTACACGGGGGATCTATGTCTTTGTACGAGGAGGTGATCTCTAACAAGCACTCGCCCTAAACGTCTGTTAAAGGCTACACGGGGGATCTTTGTCTTTGTACGAGGGGGTGATCTCTAACAGCACTTGCCCCAAAAGTCTGTTAAAGGCTACACGGGGGATCTTTATCTTTGTACGAGGGGGTGATCTCTAACAGCACTTGCCCCAAAAGTCTGTTAAAGGCTACACGGGGGATCTTTGTCTTTGAATGAGGAGGTGATCTCTAACAGCACTTGCCCCAAAAGTCTGTCAAAGGCTACACGGGGGATCCTTATCTTTGTACGAGGAGGTGTTCTCTAACAGCACTTGCCCCAAAAGTCTGTCAAAGGCTACACGGGGGATCTTTATCTTTGTACGAGGGGGTGATCTCTAACAGCACTTGCCCCAAAAGTCTGTTAAAGGCTACACGGGGGATCTTTGTCTTTGTATGAGGGGGTGATCTCTAACAGCACTTGCCCCAAAAGTCTGTTAAAGGCTACACGGGGGATCTTTATCTTTGTACGAGGAGGTGTTCTCTAACAGCACTTGCCCCAAAAGTCTGTTAAAGGCTACACGGGGGATCTTTGTCTTTCTACGAGGGGGTGATCTCTAACAGCACTTGCCCCAAAAGTCTGTTAAAGGCTACACGGGGGATCTTTATCTTTGTATGAGGGGGTGATCTCTAACAGCACTTGCCCCAAAAGTCTGTTAAAGGCTACACGGGGGTTCTTTGTCTTTGTACGAGGGGGTGATCTCTAACAGCACTTGCCCCAAAAATCTGTTAAAGGCTACACGGGGGATCTTTGTCTTTGTATGAGGGGGTGATCTCTAACAGCACTTGCCCCAAAAGTCTGTTAAAGGCTACACGGGGGATCTTTATCTTTGTACGAGGAGGTGTTCTCTAACAGCACTTGCCCCAAAAGTCTGTTAAAGGCTACACGGGGGAAGTTTGTCTTTGTATGAGGGGGTGATCTCTAACAGCACTTGCCCCAAAAGACTGTTAAAGGCTACACGGGGATCTTTATCTTTGTACGAGGCGGTGTTCTCTAACAGCACTTGCCCCAAAAGTCTGTTAAAAGCTACACGGGGGATCTTTGTCTTTGTATGAGGGGGTGATCTCTAACAGCACTTGCCCCACAAGTCTGTTAAAGGCTACACGGGAGTTCTTTGTCTTTGTACGAAGGGGTGATCTCTAACAGCACTTGCCCCAAAAGTCTGTTAAAGGCTACACGGGGGATCTTTGTCTTTGTATGAGGAGGTGATCTCTAACAGCACTTGCCCCAAAAGTCTGTTAAAGGCTACACGGGGGATCTTTGTCTTTGTACGAGGAGGTGTTCTCTAACAGCACTTGCCCCAAAAGTCTGTTAAAGGCTACACGGGGGATCTTTGTCTTTGTATGAGGGGGTGATCTCTAACAGCACTTGCCCCAAAAGTCTGTTAAAGGCTACACGGGGGATCTTTGTCTTTGTACAATGGGGTGATCTCTAACAGCACTTGCCCCAAAAGTCTGTTAAAGGCTACACGGGGGATCTTTATCTTTGTATGAGGGGGTGATCTCTAACAGCACTTGCCCCAAAAGTCTGTTAAAGGCTACACGGGGGTTCTTTGTCTTTGTACGAGGGGGTGATCTCTAACAGCACTTGCCCCAAAAATCTGTTAAAGGCTACACGGGGGATCTTTGTCTTTGTATGAGGGGGTGATCTCTAACAGCACTTGCCCCAAAAGTCTGTTAAAGGCTACACGGGGGATCTTTATCTTTGTACGAGGAGGTGTTCTCTAACAGCACTTGCCCCAAAAGTCTGTTAAAGGCTACACGGGGGAAGTTTGTCTTTGTATGAGGGGGTGATCTCTAACAGCACTTGCCCCAAAAGACTGTTAAAGGCTACACGGGGATCTTTATCTTTGTACGAGGCGGTGTTCTCTAACAGCACTTGCCCCAAAAGTCTGTTAAAAGCTACACGGGGGATCTTTGTCTTTGTATGAGGGGGTGATCTCTAACAGCACTTGCCCCAAAAGTCTGTTAAAGGCTACACGGGAGTTCTTTGTCTTTGTACGAAGGGGTGATCTCTAACAGCACTTGCCCCAAAAGTCTGTTAAAGGCTACACGGGGGATCTTTGTCTTTGTATGAGGAGGTGATCTCTAACAGCACTTGCCCCAAAAGTCTGTTAAAGGCTACACGGGGGATCTTTGTCTTTGTACGAGGAGGTGTTCTCTAACAGCACTTGCCCCAAAAGTCTGTTAAAGGCTACACGGGGGATCTTTGTCTTTGTATGAGGGGGTGATCTCTAACAGCACTTGCCCCAAAAGTCTGTTAAAGGCTACACGGGGGATCTTTGTCTTTGTACAATGGGGTGATCTCTAACAGCACTTGCCCCAAAAGTCTGTTAAAGGCTACACGGGGGATCTTTGTCTTTGTACGATGGGGTGATCTCTAACAGCACTTGCCCCAAAAGTCTGTCAAAGGCTACACGGGGGATTTATGTCTTTGTACGAGGGGGTGATCTCTAACAGCACTTGCCCCAAAAGACTGTTAAAGGCTACACGGGGATCTTTATCTTTGTACGAGGCGGTGTTCTCTAACAGCACTTGCCCCAAAAGTCTGTTAAAAGCTACACGGGGGATCTTTGTCTTTGTATGAGGGGGTGATCTCTAACAGCACTTGCCCCAAAAGTCTGTTAAAGGCTACACGGGGGATCTTTGTCTTTGTACGAGGGGGTGATCTCTAACAGCACTTGCCCCAAAAGTCTGTTAAAGGCTACACGGGGGATCTTTGTCTTTGTATGAGGAGGTGATCTCTAACAGCACTTGCCCCAAAAGTCTGTTAAAGGCTACACGGGGGATCTTTGTCTTTGTACGAGGAGGTGTTCTCTAACAGCACTTGCCCCAAAAGTCTGTTAAAGGCTACACGGGGGATCTTTGTCTTTGTATGAGGGGGTGATCTCTAACAGCACTTGCCCCAAAAGTCTGTTAAAGGCTACACGGGGGATCTTTGTCTTTGTACGATGGGGTGATCTCTAACAGCACTTGCCCCAAAAGTCTGTTAAAGGCTACACGGGGGATCTTCGTCTTTGTACGATGGGGTGATCTCTAACAGCACTTGCCCCAAAAGTCTGTCAAAGGCTACACGGGGGATCTATGTCTTTGTACGAGGGGGTGATCTCTAACAGCACTTGCCCCAAAAGTCTGTCAAAGGCTACACGGGGGATCTTTATCTTTGTACGAGGAGGTGTTCTCTAACATCACTTGCCCCAAAAGTCTGTCAAAGGCTACACGGGGGATCTTTATCTTTGTACGAGGGGGTGATCTCTAACAGCCCTTGCCCCAAAAGTCTGTTAAAGGCTACACGGGGGATCTTTGTCTTTGTATGAGGGGGTGATCTCTAACAGCACTTGCCCCAAAAGTCTGTTAAAGGCTACACGGGGGATCTTTGTCTTTGTATGAGGGGGTGATCTCTAACAGCACTTGCCCCAAAAGTCTGTTAAAGGCTACACGGGGGATCTTTGTCTTTGTATGAGGAGGTGATCTCTAACAACACTTGCCCTAAAAGTCTGTTAAAGGCTACACGGAGGATCTTTGTCTTTGTACGATGGGGTGATCTCGAACAGCACTTGCCCCAAAAGTCTGTTAAAGGCTACACGGGGGATCTTTGTCTTTGTACGATGGAGTGATCTCTAACAGCACTTGCCCCAAAAGTCTGTTAAAGGCTACACGCGGGATCTTTGTCTTTGTACGAGGAGGTGTTCTCTAACAGCACTTGCCTCAAAAGTCTGTTAAAGGCTACACGGGGGATCTTTGTCTTTGTACGAGGAGCTGTGATGTGACCAGCATCACGCAAGGCCGCCTTTGTCTCCCCCCAGTTCGGATCTTCATACACTACGTGCCGCTTTTCAGGAATGCTGAGTCGACCTAAATGAGGTATGGTCTTAATGGGTGCTCGCAAACAAGCACTTGCCCCTGCAGTCTGTCAGGGCTACGCGGGGGATCTGTGCCTTTGTGAGTGTGTCAGTGGTTATCAGTGGAGATCTTTACCTTGACCTCGTTTGATCAACGAATACTGGGACTGTGCAACGTTTGCAGATGCTTCTAAAGCTGAGAAGTTCACTCTCATGTGTGTATCTCTCTGTGTGTCTCTGTGCTGGCTCTCTCTGCTTGGATGTCTATATATGTGTCTGTGATCTGTACTCTATCACTCTTAACCTATAATTTAGCAATCTTTGAAATAACGTAATCAGCCAGACCATGCGTTAATTGTGTTTTGACCGACCCTCTGTGCTGCATTTAATTGTTTCCAAATTTTACTAAATCTTGTTCAAATTTGATGTGCTTCTTCATCTCTCTGTGTTTCCTCTCTCTCTCTTAAGTTTGAGCTCTTCTATACCTGATGATGATTGCTTGCGTTGCAATCGAAACGTCGTACGTATACTATTATGTAATTTTATTTTAATAATTATTTCTTATTTATATGTGACTTTACCGAAAAAAAAAACAAAGAGTAACACTCAACAACTTTATCTCTCATCGCGTTCTTTAAGGGGCGGTTTGTCCACTAGGGGGCGATGGGGCTCCACCCCACCGAGCGGCTGGTGATGATAAATTAATTTTTCTCATTAAAATACTTTTCTAGAAATTGTTTCGTTGCGTTTAAAACAAAACAAAAAAGTAAATTTGATTACTCTTTCAGCGTGAATTGCCCAATGAAGAGAACATGTTAAGTTGTTCGTGTTAGAAATCGCTGCAACGCCACTGTCCGACTTGTGCCTCGGGGGAGCTCTTCGGGGTGGCTCTGTGAAGGTATCCGAGTGAGAGATTTCCCTTCTTCATTCGTTGCTATTCGCCTTTCGCTTTGTAGCCTACGCCGCTTGAGACCCATTCAGTGCGGCGAAAAAGGCGCCCGTGGCTCTAATCACAGCGTCACAACGCTGGGTGGCCTTTGAACTAGAAGTATTTTGTTGCGATGCAGCTAACCGTGGCTTAAATCCAAAATTAAATGTGTAGGCTAATGTCAGTGTCAAGTGATGTTACCGTCGCCACGGATAACAGTGAGACGAACATTGGGCATGCAACGTAGCGAGCTCTGATGAAAAGTTAAGTGAATAGCAGGGCCTGCGTGCATTGTGTCAACAACGTGCCCAGTTTAACGCGAAGTAGGAGGCTTTCGCGACCAATTTAATCCATAATAGAGGGTTTTTTTTGGGGTTAGATCGCGTAAATATATAAATGTTGTGTCGTTAAAACCCGCCACCACCCGACACAACCAACTAGTAAGGGTTGTCACGTAAACAGAACGTGGCCAATTCGTCACTAGTACAGCATTAGTATATAGTGTAGTGTGTAGTGTATAGTAGCGTATAGTGTAGTGTATAGTAGTGTATAGTGTAGTGTATAGTAGTGTATAGTGTAGTGTATAGTAGTGTATAGTGTAGTATATAGTGTAGTCTATAGTGTAGTGTACTAGTACAGCCACACCGGTTGTGTGTTGGAGAGCCAAGCCAACAACATTGACAATCTGAGTAACGACGTTTCGCCAGTAATTACAACCAGCTTCATCAGGCGGACAGACAGATGTGTGTAGAAGTCCCCCTGTTTCGTTCCTTATACAGAGGCGTAGATGTGGTGACCACGCTTCTGCGCTCTTGTGCAAATTGTGGGGCGGGGGGAGGGGATTAATGAGTTAACGTACACGTATGTACATGTAGGTTAACTCATATATTTACGTGATCTAACCCCCCAAAAAAACATCTAACGTGGCCAGTGAATGCAGATCAAAGCTTTTTCGTGTAGGTGGGTGGTTGCTGTTATTGTGCAGTATGCGGTGTCTTGGTCGCCTTGGCTAATTTGTTTGAGTCGTTTCAGCCGATCTTCAATTGTTCTCGAGGCTCTTGGCAGTGTGAAAGGGTTTGTGGAGTGTGCACGTGAGGGTCACGGGGACAGCATTTGAGTGCTCTGTTGTTGTGTTTCGTATTGTTCACGAATGCCTAGATAAGACGGTTATATCGCTAGCATGCGAAGGCCAATAACACGACGAGGTTTTTCTTAATTAAGAACACCGTCATCTTTCAGAGGTCACTCACAACAGCCCCGCCTAGTGGAGATGTCACCGCGACAGATTTATTTATTTCTCTCTCTCGATGTAGTCGTCTACAGTTTCAGACGTGATCCGCAGATATCAAGTCCGTGAATAACGAGGGACTGCTCTAGTTTCGTGTTCAAGATAAGTGTGTCGTTAACCCATCACCGCCAAATCAGTGAGGTCTGTCACGTAAACAAAACGTGACGCATCAGTTACTACTTCAGCGCGAACCGGTGTGCCGGAGAGTAAACCCACCGAAACATTTTACAATTTTGAGCACTGCATTTCGCTCATGATTAGGACAACCAGCTTCATCAGGTGACTTGCCAGAATTGTAAAGAAGTCCTCCTGCTTCCGGTCTCGAACACAGAGCACGGACGATACTGTAGTCTCTGCAGGTACTGAGACTCCTCTGCTTATGAACATTCGACTTACGAACTTTGAGCGATACGAAAAACCTCTCCGTATGTCCAGTTGCCCGTTCGGACCGAGAGTCGTAAGTTCGACCACCGCGCAATGGATGGCGGTGGTGGCATTGACACCTGCAGAACGTGAAGAACCAGTGGCATCTACATCTGCAGAACGTGAAGAACCAGTGGCATCTACATCTACAGAGCGTGAAGAACCAGTGGCATCTACATCTGCAGAACGTGAAGAACCAGTGGCATCTACATCTGCAGAACGTGACGAACCAGTGACATCTACATCTGCAGAACGTGAAGAACCAGTGGCATCTACATCTGCAGAACGTGAAGAACCAGTGGCATCTACATTTACAGAACGTGAAGAACCAGTGGCATCTACATCTGCAGAACGTCAAGAACCAGTGGCATCTACATCTGCAGAACGTGAAGAACCAGTGGCATCTACATCTGCAGAACGTGAAGAACCAGTGGCATCTACATGTGCAGAACATGAAGAACCAGTGGCATCTACATCTACAGAACGTGAAGAACCAGCAGCATCTACATCTACAAAACGTGAAGAACCAGTGGCATCTACATCTGCAAAACATGAAGAACCAGTAGCATCTACATTTGCAGAACATGGAGAACCAGTGGCATCTACATCTGCAGAACGTGAAGAATCAGTAGCATCTACATTTGCAGAACATGTAGAACCAGTGGCATCTACATCTGCAGAACATGAAGAAACAGTGGCATCTACATCTGCAGAATATGAAGAACCAGTGGTATCACATCTGCCGAACGTGAAGAACCAGTGGCATCTACATCTACAGAACGTGACGAACCAGTGGCATCTACATCTACAAAACGCGAAGAACCAGTGGCATCTACATCTGCAGAACGTGAAGAACCAGCGGCATCTACATCTGCAGACCGTGAAGAACCAGTGGCATCTACATCTGCAAAACATGAAGAACCAGTAGCATCTACATTTGCAGAACATGAAGAACCAGTGGCATCTACATCTGCAGAACGTGAAGAATCAGTAGCATCTACATTTGCAGAACATGTAGAACCAGTGGCATCTACATCTGCAGAACATGAAGAACCAGTGGCATCTGCAGAATATGAAGAACCAGTGGTATCACATCTGCCAAACGTGAAGAACCAATGGCATCTACATCTGCAGAACGTGACGAACCAGTGGCATCTACATCTACAAAACGCGAAGAACCAGTGGCATCTACATCTGCAGAACGTGACGAACCAGTGGCATCTACATCTACAAAACGCGAAGAACCAGTGTCATCTACATCTGCAGAACGTGAAGAACCAGCGGCATCTACATCTGCAGACCGTGAAGAACCAGTGGCATCTACATCTGCAGAACATGAAGAACCAGTGGCATCTACATTTGCAGAGCATGAAGAGCCAGTGGCATCTACATCTGCATTTGCAGAACATGAAGAATCAGTGGCATCTACATCTACAGGAGATTATACAACTTTTAATGCCATTCCCCGTGTTTAGTGTACATGCCGTACAACATGTTTGGAATCGACAGGAGAAAAGTCAGACTTACGAACAAATCGACTTACGAACAGAACTCTGGAACCTAACTCGTTCATAAGTAGAGGAGTCCCTTATACGTGTTTTTCAGCATTGAGATGATAATAGAGATTTCCCCTTGCTGTCAATAAAACAGGTGTGTTCAGATGTTAAAACACCAAACTTAAACCTTTGCAAGGAATCATGTCTGCATTAACCACATATACTTGTGGTGAACATGCAAACAAAGAAACATGCTCTGGTAGTGTACGGTCATGCATTGTATTTGACACTGATTGGTCCACACCAGAGACAGCTTTCTTTAGAGCCTAGTCTCAAACAGTGTGAGACCAGAGGACGCCAAAAGGCGAACAGCACAACGAACAGGACATTGAGAGCTCAGGGTGAGCAATGAGATGGCTTTCTTCTTCAGGCAACACCGGTTTAATTTTGCCCGGTGTGTGTGTGTGTTGTCTTTAAAACAAAAACAAAAAAATGTTTAGCCACAGGCAAGGAGGCATGTCGGGCCGAGGCGGCGAATCGGCGGAAGGGTCGGCGCCAAGGCCCGGCCATGGGCCCCCGACGGGCCCAGCGGGCGCTCCTCCCACGCACCTGCAGAGGCCCCGCTTGAGCTACGTGGAGGGCATCCTCATGGCAGAGGTGTTCTTCCAGGACTGGGAGGAGAAGAGCGCCTTCCGTGCCCAGCCCGAGGACATCGTCATCTCCACCTACCCCAAATCAGGTTGACGAGCACCGTGCAGCGTTTTCATCGTCGTCATCATCGTCGTCGTCATCATCGTCGTCATCATTTTCGTCGTCGTCATCATCGTCGTCATCATTATCGTCGTATTCATCATCGTCATCATCAGCGTCATCGTCGTCATCATTATTATCATTCGTCGTCGTCGTCGTTGTCGTCGTCGTCATCATCGTCGTCGCCATTATCGTCATCAGCATGATGGTCATCATCGTTATCATCATCATCATCATCACTCTGTGTGTGTGTGTGGGGAGTGGTGGTGTAGTGGTTAGTTCGCTGCACTGTGAACCCCGCAACCAGGGTTCGATTCCCGCTCACGGCCAACACCAGTGACGATTATCTGAACCGGTCCTGGGCCTCCCCTAGGTCGACTCAGCCTCAAACCTGGTGCGGTGTGTAGTAAACATCGCCACTTGGGAGACAAAGGCGATCGGGCGTGGTGCTGGCCACCCACCCCATCGTGTACCATTCCGTCCTTCATAGGTGCTCGCTAACAGCACTTGCCCCTACAGCCTGTTAAGGCTATACAGGGGATCTTTGCCTTAGTTTGTATGCTTCAGTGAGTGCGCTTCAGTGCGCCACAATGAAGCAAGTTGGCACACTAGGGGGGTACAGCCGGTGGTGCATCTACCAGTTGTTTCCTCAGTCAGCCAACCCACGGCACCTGCTGGGTCTGACACCGTGGTCCCCCCTGCCAGCGAGGCCTTCGACACCTCACGCGATAGCCTCAAAGCGCACCCGGCCTGGGCTTCGTGGCGAGCGGCGGCCGCGTTGGCATCGATCGGTGCGAGAGCGCGTCTCGTGGGCGAGCGTGGGAGCGCGCGCGTCCAACAGCGTGGCAAACCTCGGCGCCACCACCTTCCCGTCGTTTTTTGCTGCCACGCCCGCAGGGACGACGTGGCTCCAGGAGATTGTGGACGCCATCCTTGGTCGCGGGGACATCGAGCGCTGCAAGCGAGCGCCCACCCACAGTCGGGTGCCCTTCCTCGAGATGTCGGCGGTGCCCAGCCTCGGCATTCCCAGCGGTGCGATGCCGTCCTCCTTCCGCCGGGGTTGCCACCTGTCCTGGATTTTACCGAGGAGCGTCCTCTCGTCCAAAGCGTGGAGCTGCCACAGTTAGGGGTGGGGGTTGCCACCAGTCCAGGTTTACCCAGTATTGCCCTCTCGTCCAAGGCGTGGAGCTGCCACGGTTAGGGTTGGGGTTGCCACCCGTCCAGGTTTACCCAGTATTGTCCTCTTGTCCAAGGCGTGGAGATGCCAGGGTTAGGGTTGGGGTTGCCACCAGTCCAGGTTTACCTAGTATTGTCCTCTTGTCCAAGGCGTGGAGCTGCCACGGTTAGGGTGGGGGTTGCCACCCGTCTAGGTTTACCCAGTATTGTCCTCTTGTCCAAGGCGTGGAGATGCCAGGGTTAGGGTGGGGGTTGCCACCCGTCCAGGTTTACCCAGTATTGTCCTCTTGTCCAAGGCGTGGAGCTGCCACGGTTATGGTGGGGGTTGCCACCCGTCAGGTTTACCCAGTATTGTCCTCTCGTCCAAAGCGTGGAGATGTCAGGGTTGGGGTTGCCACCCGTTCTGGGTTTCCCAGGGTCGTCGCTTTTGTTGTTGTTGTTGCTGTTATCGTTGTTGAGATTGAAGCGTTTGTGCTGCAGGGATTGATCAGATTGAGCAGCTTCCATCTCCCCGAGTCATCAAAACGCACCTCCCCTACCAGCTGGTGCCCAAATCATTCTGGGAGAATAACTCCAAGGTCCATTCATTCATTAATTTTCTCATGGTTTCATTCACCCACCCACACTCACCCACCGATACACATAGACATACACACTCATCCACCCACACTCACCCACCCACACTCACCCACCCACACTCACTCACCCACACTCACCCACTATACAGATACACACCCACCAACCCATACTCACTCACCCACACTCACCCACCGATACACATAGACATACACACTCACCCACACTCACCCACCCACACTCACCCACCGATAGACATACACACTCACTCACCCACCCACACTCACCCACCCACACTCACCCACCCACCCACCCACCCACACTCACCCATCGATACACATAGACATAAACACTCACCCACCCACACCCACCCATGCACACCCACCCACACACACCCACTGATACACATAGACATCCACATTCACCCACCCACACCCACCCACCCGCACCCACACCTGACGCGGCCGTGTTGACATCGCCTTCCCCTTGACGCCGTAGGTCATCTACCTGGCCCGCAACGCCAAGGACGTGATGGTGTCATGCTTCTACTTCGGGAAGATGAACTTCGGCCAACCGCACCCCGGCACCTGGGATGAGTACTTCCGTAAGCACCTGGACGGCGCAGGTAAACTCGAGTCCCGGTGCTCCGTTACGTCAGCCGCGGAAGCTCAACCCCACCCACCCCCTCCCACTCTAAAACTCAACGAGATATTCAGGTAGTCCACGACTTACGATGGTCCGACTTACGATATTTCGATCTTACGATGGCGATAGCGATATGACAAAATTGTTTAAAAAATTTAATTTCGCGCGGCAGGCAAACGCAGCAGCGTACGAGGTACGATACTGTAACTTTACCATCGCCATCCTCCTCTTCTGACAACTAAGTTAATGTAGCCATCAACAACCTAACATCGTTCAAGTAAGGTGAGGGAAAAAAGTATTTGGTCCCCTGCTGATTTTGTACGTTTGGCCACTGACAAAGAAATGATCAGTCTATAATTTTAATGGTATGTTTATTTGAACAGTGAGAGACAGAATGACAACAAAAAAAATCCAGAATAACGCATGTCAAAAATGTTATAAATTGATTTGCATTTTAATGAGGGAAATAAGTATTTGACCCCTCTGCAAAACATGACTTAGTACTTGGTGGCAAAACCCTTGTTGGCAATCACAGAGGTCAGACGTTTCTTGTAGTTGGCCACCAGGTTTTCACACATCTCAGGACGGATTTTGTCCCACTCCTCTTTGCAGATCTTCTCCAAGTCATTAAGGTTGACGTTTGGCAACTCGAACCTTCAGCTCCCTCCACAGATTTTCTATGGGATTAAGGTCTGGAGACTGGTTAGGCCACTCCAGGACCTTAATGTGCTTCTTCTTGAGCCACTCCTTTGTTGCCTTGGCCGTGTGTTTTGGGTCATTGTCATGCTGGGATACCCATCCACGACCTATTTTCAATGCCCTGGCTGAGGGAAGGAGGTTCTCACCCAAGATTTGACGGTACATGGCCCCGTCCATCGTCCCTTTGATGCGGTGAAGTTATCCTGTCCCCTTAGCAGAAAACACCCCCAAAGCATAATGTTTCCATCTTCATGTTTGACGGTGGGGATAGTGTTCTTGGGGTCATAGGCAGCATTCCTCCTCCTCCAAACACGGCGAGTTGAGTTGATGCCAATGAGCTCCATTTTGGTCTCATCTGACCACAACACTTTCACCCAGTTGTCCTCTGAATCATTCAGATCTTCATTGGCAAACTTCAGACGGGCATGTATACGTGCTTTCTTGAGCAGGGGGACCTTGCGGGCACTGCAGGATTTCAGTCCTTCACGGTGTAGTGTGTTACCAATTGTTTTATTGGTGACTATGGTCCCAGCTGCCTTGAGATCATTGACAAGATCCTCCCGTGTAGTTCTGGGCTGATTCCTCACCGTTCTCATGATCATTACAACTCCACGAGGTGAGATCTTGCATGGAGCCCCAGGCCGAGGGAGATTGATAGTTCTTTTGTGTTTCTTCCATTTGCAAATAATCACACCAACTGTTGTCACCTTCTCACCAAGCTGCTTGGCAATGGTCTTGTAGCCCATTCCAGCCTTGTGTAGGTCTACAATCTTGTCCCTAACATCCTTGGAGAGCTCTTTGGTCTTCACCATGGTGGAGAGTTTGGAATCTGATTGATTGATTGACTCCCTTTAGGAGTGTGCTCCTAATCTCAGCTCGTTACCTTATAAAAGACACCTGGGAGCCAGAAATCTTTATGATTGAGAGGGGGTCAAATACTTATTTCCCTCATTAAAATGCAAATCAATTTATAACATTTTGACATGCGTTTTTTCTGGAGTTGTTGTTGTTATTCTGTCTCTCACTGTTCAAATAAACATATCATTAAAATTATAGACTTATCATTTCTTTGTCAGTGGGCAAACGTACAACATCAGCAGGGGATCAAATACTTTTTCCCCTCACTGTATGCAGACGACGGACAGAATCTTGGTAACAGTAGAATATGATACGTTACGATACGTTCAATGCATGTATGATACGTAGCTTTAGCGATTTCATGTTAGGGTTACCACGATACGATACGTTACGTTCAATGCATGTTAAAAGTTTTTTTTATAGCAGATAGGATTGTTTCCTGAAAAAAAACTTTCTATGAAATTGCAGTTCATATAGGTAGGCTAAGAATTTACCTTGTTTTTTTTACTTTAAATTTTACTGTGCAATACAGTATTGTAATTAATAAATACATACAGTATATAGTTTATACAGTACGGTATTGTAAATCGCTCTGTTTTGCTAAATTATCACCTTTCTTTAAGACGTCTGGGTAGGCTAGGGCTATTTTCGACTTACGATATTTTCCACTTACGATGTGGTCATCGTAACGCATCTCAGTCGTAAGTCGGGGACTACCTGTATTTGTAATTGTTACCAGGTAAGGCCCCACTAAGCTATAGATCTAGGGGGAGGCCCAGCAGCAGTTCAGATATTTGCCACTGATGTTGGCCGCGAGTGGGATTCGATCTCTGGTCACCGGTTGCATGGCACGGGGGGGGGGGGGTCACATTGGTCTTTTTGGATACTAAAAACGTTTTATTCGTACCAGGTATGGCCCCACTGAGCTGTGTGGCATCTTCTTTCAGAAGCCAGCTGGCCGTCACAAATGATAGCTCAACGAAGTGAGTGGCTTATCGTCATTGCGTGGAAATGTATAACAGCGCAGATACTCGAAAGGCGTGACGTTGATTCTAAACGTGGAGGGGAAAACCGGAGGGCCCCGGAGAAAAATCCACGTTACCACGGGGTGAAAGAGACACGCAAACTCCAAATATACAGCAGTCGTCAGGTTGGGAATCGAACCCACGACCTCCTGTACACCAGGTGAGGTTGTTAACATCTCCTAGCCACCGCAGCGCTTTTTGCAAGGACGACCACAGCCCAAGACCGTGGACAGTGGTGGCAGTTACAAAACATTGCGGTTACATAGAGACCTGTAGAGTTACTTAGAGGCCCATAGAGTTACGTAGAGACTCAGAGTTAAATAGAGAGTTATAGACATCCATAGAGACTCATATCGTTACAGTACATACAGACGCATAGAGTTACTTTAGAAATCTATAGAGTTACATAGGGATATACAGAATTACGTAGCGATCCACAGAATTACATTGAGATTAATAGATTTACAGAGATTCATAGAGTGGTACAGAGAGTCAAAGAGTTACATAGAGACCCGTAGAATTACGTAGAGACCGATATATTTATACACAGACCCATAGAGTTATTTTAGAGATCTGCAGAGTTACATAGCGATCCACATAATTACATAGAGATCCATAGATTTACAAAGATTTACAAAGATTCATAGAGTGGCACGGAGATTCATAGAGTCACATAGAGACCCATAGATCCATAGACTCAGGCTTTATTACTACAGCCTGTGAGGCCCCATTGGGCTCAGCAGTGCCATAGGGAGCGGTGGCACAGCGGTTAGCACACCATGCTACGAACCCTAGATCGACTCAGCCTTAAATGAGTACGCATACCTGTTGCGGTGTGAAAATCAGCACTGGGGATACAGAGGCTGTCGGGCCTGGTGCTGGCCACACACCTCGAGTGGCGTGCCGCTCACAACAGGCGCTCACTAACAGCACTTGCCCCAGCAGTCCGCTAAGGCTACACGGGGCATATCTGTCTTTTGTGCAGTCCCGTGGGGGTGCTGGTGGGATCACGTGCTCGGGTATTGGGACAAGAGGGATCATCACCGCATCCTCTACCTCCTCTACGAAGACATGAAGGAGGTGCTGGCTCACTCATTCATTCACTCGTTCGCTGTGACCAACTCAGGCCACTGATTCATTCACTTGCTCAGTCACTCGTTAGCCCAGCTGATCGGCTCGGTCACTCACTCATTCACTCGTTCAATCACTTGCTTAGCCACTCACTCGTAAACTCAGTTAATCAGTCATTCGCTCATTCGGTAAATAATGAATTCATTCACTCGGTCGCTCAAATGAACTTCATGGCGCGACCCCTGTGTGCCATGAGCCCCCGGCTCTCGCGTAAACATTATATTATAATGTAAACATTATATTATACATTATATTATAATGTGAATATTATAATGTAAACATTATATTATATATTATATTATAATGCAAACATTATATTATACATTATATTATAATGTAAATATTATAATGTAAACATTATATTATATTATAATGTAAACATTATATTATAATGTCAATATTATATCATATATTATATTATAATGTCAACATTATATTATAATGTAAACATTATATATTATATTATAATGTAAACATTATATTATAATGTAAGCATTATATTATGTATTATATTGTAATGTAAACATTATAATGTAAACATATTATAATGTAAACATTATATTATATATTATATTATAATGTAAACATTATATTATAATGTAAACACAAAACGTTGCTCTTTTTCACCAACGGGTTTGAAGGATGGTGGCAAGTGTTGTTTTGTTAAACTCTGCCTTTAAAACTGAAAACTACTTACCTGCAGTGACTCTATTTAAATGCACGATTGAAGAAATAATTTACACCCCTCTGTCAATCATCGTGCGGTATGTGGGGACTATGGCTTAACCGCAAAAAAATAACATCTACACAGATGCATTCGGACGAGAGAAGTAGTATAATCAAACAGGAGGAATTAACGGTGCAACGCATCTCATCTGTTAAATATCTGCGGGTAATAGGGTCGTAGACATTGGTAGGTCACAAATAATAATGAAGATAAGAGAGCAGTTTCACTGTATTATGCATACCGCGAAACTGACAAATAAAGGCCTTAAGTCGTGTAGGCAATTTGAGCAGCTTTGGATACGACTTGTCATGATCCTCCCCATACCCGAGCATGGAGTGAGTGCATTCGCTTGTTCAGCTCTTCTGCGCATTTGTCCTCGCTGCTGCGCTTGGACGACACGACAACAGAATAATCTGCGCCGGGGGGGTCGCGGCGTTTGTGTGCGCGGTGGGGCAGAGTCGCCAAAAATATTTAAATAAATAAATAGATAGATTGCAATTTGGACTTTTGCTTATTCGTGACCCCGGGGTCCCGCCATGTAGTTTAAATGTGCATTCAGTGGCTCAGCCACTTATTCAATCGCTCAGTTGTTCACTCAATCACCCACACGTTCACCCACTCATCACACTAACTTGCCTATCGACTCACTTATACACACGGCCACTCACCTTCATAGGTGCTGCTCGCTAACAGCGCTTGCCCCAACGGCCTGTTGAAGCCCATATTGGGGACCTTTGTCTTTGTTGTGTGGTTCTCAGGGGCACCGGCTCAGTGTCTACGACGCAGCCACTGTGAATCATCATCATCATCAACCACGGTGGTTCACAGTGGCTGCTCTGGTTGGACCCCGAAGGTCGGGGAGATAGGTTTGAATCCGGGCGCTTGTAGGTAGTGTAGCAGGCTAGAAGAGTGCTGCTCTACTACATACCCGACGATCCGAGTTCAATTCCCGCTCGCGGCCTACCAACCGGTCCTGAGCCTCCCCTAGATCCACTCAGCCTCAAACAAGTACCTGGTGCGGTGCGTAAACATCGCCACTCGGGAGCCAAAGGCGGCCGGGCGTGGTGCTGGCCACCTACCCACTCGTGTGCCATGCCGACCTTCATACTGTAGGTGCTCACTAACAGCACTTGCCCCAACAGTCTGTTACAGGCTATGAGAGAGGTCTTTGTCTTAATTGTTAGTGGTGGTGGTGATGATGATGATGGAAATAGTGATGGTAATGGCAGTAAAGGTAGTGGTTGATGGTAGTGATAATAATCATTGTTGATATACTTGTTTACCCAGGAAAGCCTCACGGGGGTCTCATGGCTCTGCGCTCGGTATTTAAAGCAGCGGGCGACCGTGAGAGCGTTCGTGGACATAGTGGTGGTAGATGGGGAGATGTTAACTACCTCGCCTGGTATACAGGAGGCTGGCCGTGGTGCTGGCCACCCACCCCCCTCGTGTGCCGTGCCGACCTTCATAGGTGCTACTTGCTACGAACAGCACGCTGCCCCAACAGTTCTGTTTGAGGCTACACGGGGGATCTTTGACTTTTGCGTTTTGCAGAACCCCAGGGCTGCGGTGGAGCAGGTGGCCGAGTTCCTGGACGTCCACCTGCCGGAGGAGGCGCTGGAGAAGATTGTCCACCACACGAGCTTTGAGCAGATGAGGGACAATCCCATGGCGAACTACACCTCGCTGCCCAGCTTCGTCATGGACCACTCCGTGTCGCCCTTCATGCGCAAAGGTGCAGCGCTCGGTTGTGTCCAACGTCGTCACCGTCGTTGTTATTGCTGCCGTACATCATCATGACTGCCGTCATCGTCGTCGTCGTCGTCATCAACGCAGCCATTATAATCAACGCCGTCGTCATCATCATCATCATCACGATCATCATCATCATCACTATCGTCATTGTCATCAATATCATTGTCACTATCATCATTATCACTATCATCATCACATCATCATCAGCGCTATCATCATCATCACTATCGTCATCATCACTATCGTCATCATCATCATTATCATCATCATCATCACTATCATCATCAGCACTATGATCATCATCATCACCACCACTATCGTCGTCATCATCATCACTACCGTCATCATCACTATCGTCATTATCGTCATCATTATCGTCACCATCATCATTACTATCATTATCATCACTATCATCATCACTATCATCACCACCGTCACCACCGTCATCACCGTCGTGGTTGTGACCGTGGTCCATGCGTGGCCGCAGGCTCGGTGGGCGACTGGCGGACCCACTTCACGGTGGCCCAGAACGAGGAGTTTGACGAGGTGTACGCGAAGAAGATGGCCGGCACCTCCCTCTCCTTCCGCCACGACCTGCCGCAGGTGGTGGATTCTTGAATCCATCCGTGCGGGGTCTTCTCTTACCCCCACCCCCTGTCGTGATCGTGAGGTTTTCTTCTGGGGGGCACGCGATTGGTTTTACTTCCCGGGCTGCTAGGGGGGATTTGAGTTTGATCGAAACATTCCAGTGGAGCGGCACTAATCCCGAAAAACGAGCCGTGAGACTCACTGAAGATTTCCTGGGTTAAAAATTAAATCGTAATTATTGGTCTTTATTGCGACGGTCGTTATTCATAACGCAGGTTGGTTTTTTTTTGTTCGGGGGGGGGGGGGGGTTAGGTCGCGTAAATATAAATGTGTCGTTAAAGCCCGCCACCACCCTTCACGGCCGATTGAACAGCCAAGTAAACGGAACGTGGGCAATTCGTTACTCGCGTAGCGGCATCGTTGAGCGCTGTACGCGATTGCCAATACTTGTAGCCTGTAATAACGGCCTCGAGTCAACACGGGGCAGAAGGGAGTCAACAGGTGATGAGTCAGGCCATTGGGCCAACGTCACTCCCCAGGCACCTCCAGACGGTTCCAGAAGGGAGGAGTGGCTAGGGGCGGAGTGAGCCAGAGACCAGTATGAAAAACGGTCCGCTAAACGAGACCGGCAGTCGCCGTTACCTGAAGACTCAAGAGCCACCCTGGGGCTGCCACCTGGAAGACCCAAAGCGAAGAGCCCAAAGGGCAGCACCCGAACCCCTGGCTAGGGTCGGGTCAAATCTTAACCTTAGCGAAGAGGTTAGAGCGTAACCAGTGTTAGGGCAGGCTAGTCCGGAGGGAATACCTCCCTAGGTATCGGGTGTCAGGAGCCCATACCCCTTTGTGTTATTGTAATGTTGAAATGAACGTGCTGCCTCCAGAAGAGTGAAGTCTTCTCAAGTTTGTACCCACTACACTAGTACAGCCACACCGGTGCGTTGGAGAGCAAATCCACAACATTTACAATCATTGCTCTCCAAACACACAACCGGTGTGCCGTCCTAGTAACGAATTGGCCACGTTCTGTTTACGTGACGGAACCTTCACTAATTTGGCCGCGTCGGGTGGTGGCGAATTTAGCGACACAACAGATATATTTACGCAATCTAACCCCTCCCCCCCCCCAAACCCCCCCCCCCCCTCTGTTATGGTCGATAACCATCCAGAACGTCGTCGTGTGAACGGTTCCATGGAGGGGGAAGAAACTGGTTTAAAAGGCGCATTTGTCCACCCCTCCACTTCCTCCTCCCCCTAGTTTCCGGTGTATCGCTCACCCTTACACCCTCAAGTTGTAGGCCGTGACGATATTTTTTTTAAATATATGCATCATTATCAATGTTGATTTTCTGCTATTAAACAACGATTATTAATAAAAACCGGCGGCGTTTCCTGCTGACTTTTTGCCGTGATGCTCGGGGGGCTAAGGTGATTACATATTTTTGAATCTATCCGAAACATGACGTCACCGGAAGTCACGTGCGGCTTCCTGTGACACGACTTCCGTTCATTTTTTCATATCCCCCGTCATAATCGGCGTCACGTGGCCTCGGGTGACGTCGCTTTCGTGAGCACGAAGACGGCGTTCGATCACTCGGTAACGCCAACTATCCGAAAACCCCCCCCAAAAAAATCGAAAACGGTCTTTAGAAAAAAAAAACTATGACAAATATTAAAATTTTGGAGGACGTGGAGCCAATAAGACTTGCAGATGACCGGTACCGGATAGAGGGGGGTAAACGGACACGGCACGGACTAGAGAAGAGATGGAGTGATGCGGTGCAAAAGGATATGGAGCCTAGTGGACTTTTTAATAACTGGTACCAGTGGTGTCAGCATCGGCCTCTGTGAAGGAGGAGGCTCGTGAAGGACGTTGCTACCGGGTGGTTGGAAGCAGTCGCCCTCCAACAACAACAGAGGGCACAGAAGCGACGCTCACAACAACGGGCAGAGCGCCGGGCGGCTAAAGTTCAGAGAGGTGGCACAGTGGGGGAGCACAGGCTGGTGCATCTGCCAGTCATCTCAGTTAAACCAAAGCATCTGGGTCTCTCCCATGACCTGTCAACGAACCTTCGACAATTCACGTGATAGCTTTCAAGGTGCACCTAGCCTGGCATAGGTGCCGTGGTGACGTCACCGCCACTTAGTCGCGAACGTTGGGTGAGTGGTGTTGTTGTTGTGACCTGAAGCGTGGTGATCGAACAGAGCGTATGTACGTTGAACTTCTTTCGCGCCGTGCATAGCCAACCGTGCTAATCGGAGGTGCGGGGAGAAGTGCAACAAACCAAACACGAAAAGCTGCCCTAAAGAAATGAGTTTGTCAATCGAGATGATTTCAAAGTGCATAACTGCAGTGGCTTTCTAATAAAGGAATGGAAGAGAGCGTTCCAGACGGCCGCAGAAGCGCATCTGAAAGCGCCGCGCGGCGATGCGGTGAACGCCGCCGTCTTTGTTTGACGGCTCAGCCAAAAGCCGCCGCTGCTGCTGCTGCCGCGAGGAATGACCGCTGTTCACGTGGTGATGGTTCATGCTTCTTAACCAAATCAGCGAGGTTATTGGTGGTTCATTTGTGGCAAGCGGCTTTGTGGCGAGGAATGACCGCGGTTCACGTGGTGATGGTTCATGCTTCTTAACCAAATCAGCGAGGTTATTGGTGGTTCATTTGTGGCAAGCGGCTTTGTGGCGAGGAATGACCGCGGTTCACGTGGTGATGGTTCATGCTTCTTAACCAAATCAGCGAGGTTATTGGTGGTTCATTTGTGGCAAGCGGCTTTGTGGCGAGGAATGACCGCGGTTCACGTGGTGATGGTTCATGCTTCTTAACCAAATCAGCGAGGTTATTGGTGGTTCATTTGTGGCAAGCGGCTTTGTGTGTGTGTGTATATATCGAGTGCGATCTTTGCAGGGGCGTGCAAAGGGCCGAGGAATGGGTGACCGCGATAGAGAGGCGAGGGGGGGGGTGCGTAGAGGATAGCGAAGGGTAGGGGAGGAGCTGGAAGGGGTGGAGGTGCGAGGTGAGATAAGGGAATGGGCGATGTGCAAAAATAAGAAGAGGTTTTAGCCCTTTCTGGCAACAAAACAGGAGGTGTTGGGATGTTCAAACACCAAATAGAAAACTTTTGCAAGGAATCAATCAGTTTCAAAGACAATGCATTATCAGGTAATGTGTGCGCATTCACCACAAGCACTCTGTGTGTGGTCAATGCAGTACTTGGTTGATCATTTATTTGGTCTTTGGATATCTTAACACCTCCTGTTTTATTGGCAGAAACGGTGAAGCCTATTAGTAATTTTTCATACTTTGATATTCGCAAAAAAAGGTCCCATGATGAAATGGTCACCAGTAGTCGTAGAAGTTAGCGACTGAAGGGCAGTGAGAGAGAGAGAATGACAGCTTGATCGGCGATGCAGCAACATGCAAACGACTACAAGTGAATTAGCCGAGCGCGCCAGGACTCCCGTCAGATTAAAAACTAAAAATCTCCAGAGAAATAAATCCACCGGCAGTGAGCGAGACATTCTTTTTTTGGTGACTTTTATTGCAATTTTAATATTTTTTTTTAATTCGCAAAAGCGCGTGTACAAATGTCCCCCCCCCTCCCCCCAATCCCCCCACCCACCCTACCATCACCTAATCCCTGACCCCCCCCCCCTATCCTGCCACCTCCCCGCCCGCCTGCCCCCCCCCCCCACTCGGGCGCACATGGTAAGGACTCGACATGAACCCCGCGCGCGAATAACCAGAGAGAGAGGCAGAAACGGGAAGGGTAAAGTGAAGGTACCAGACAATCAGTATTGTACCTCCCCATCACCACCCCCTCCTTCCTTGGAAGTTCGTGGTGATCAAGATGTGACCCCTGTCATATATAGCTAAGTACCGTGGCAGAGGGCAGGTGGTGACTGACCATCATACACATCAAGACACCTGTGCAAAGGTGTGTTCTATGCTGAACTGTGCCCATGTGTGTGTGTGTGTATCCTAACCTGTCTCGTGCCACCTTTACACACACACACACACACCTGTGCAAAGGTGTGTTTGATGCTTAACTATTCCCATGTGTGTGTATCCTAACCTGTCTCGTGCCAACTCCATCACACCCACACACACCTGTGCAAAGGTGTGTTTGATGCTTAACTATTCCCATGTGTGTGTATCCTAACCTGTCTCGTGCCAACTCCATCACACCCACACACACCTGCATGGGACTGTGCCCTCTGTCACACGGCCCTTCACGTGTGTATGTGTGTGCTGTGTGTAGGGATATAAAGGCGGCCGGGCATTGCGTCGGCCACCCCACCCCCTCTCGAGTGCCGTGCCTGACTTCATAGGGACTGCTCGCTAACAGAACTTGCCCCAACAGCCTGATAAAGGCTATACAGGGGATCTTTGTCTGTGTCTCCGTGTATATTGTGCAGCGTAGCGGTTAGCGCTGCGCTGCGCTGCGATATGAATCCGGCCGCCCGAGTTCGATTCCCGCTCACGGCCAACGCCGGTAACGATTATCTGAACCGATCCTGCCCCGCCCCCCCCCTAGGTCGACTCAGCCTTAAATGAGTACCTGGTGCCGTGCGTAAACATCGCCACTGGGGAGACAAAGGCGGCCGGGAGTGGTGCTGACCCCCCCTCCCCCTCCCCGCCCTCCTCGTGTGCCGTTCTTCATACGTGTTGCTCGCTAACAGCACTTGCTCCTACACAGTCTCTCAACGGCTATGCGGGAGGATCGGCGCGTGTGTGCGTGCGTGCGTGTGTCTATCGTGTAGGCTGCGTGCGCACTTTGCAAAGCCAGTAAGTTACCTTCACGCGTTCACGCGTTCAGTGCTAAGAGACGCTAATCTACCTGCCGGAGCCCTCTTCGCCATGCCAACGATTATTATTATTATTTACGCGGCGCTCGGAAAGGCTCTGGTCCCGCGGGTGTCGACAGAACGGGTGGCAACAAACACAAAACAAAAGCTCGGTCAGTGGTACAAAGTCAGTCCTCCAAACGTTACTTATCAATAGATTATATATGTTATATAACACATGTTATACAACATGTGTTATATAACCACGATTTCAATTGGTGATGTGCCGCCGCAGCTGCACAGGTATGCGCGTGCCGCAGTTCCCTTGTGCCGTACGTAGCCAAACGTGCTAATCGGAGGTGGGTGATCCAGTGTCAAATATGCCCCCTCCCCCCCATCCCTCCAAGCTCTGCGGTCCTCTATATATAAAGATGTCATCGACATATTAATGAGTGTTTAGACACGCGGGAGGAAGCACCAAAGAAAACCTAATCGTGCGAGGGAGCAATGCTCTATCCCCCATCCCTCCAAGCTCTGCGGTCCTCTATATATTAAGATGTCATCGGCCAATTGATGAGTGTTTAGACCCGCGGGAGGAAGCATCAGTAAAAAGCCCCACGTGCGGGAGGGAGCAACGCTCTATCCCATACAGATTGAAAAAGGTGGAGTCGACACTTCCCCTGGTGGAACCAGGGGCGGGCGTTGCTCATCCTCGAAGGGAGTTTCACAGACCCGTCTGTGCAGCGATCCACCGACCCTCGCCGCTGCCGCTGCCGCCTCCACCATCACACGCAGAGCGGTGTCTCGTAGGCAGCCACGTGGACCTTAGCCACGACAACGTGTCAGCGACGAAGGACTATGTCGCGACCGTCGACGAATTTACCTCGTGGCTAAATCGCGCCCATCTGCGCACGTCCCAAATTATCAGTCGCTTTTGCCCCTAAATTAAAACGCCGCTCTGAAAGAAACATTGGACGCGGACTGCCGCTTTTGGAGAAATTTCTGCCACCCACCCCTCCGACCACCCAACCCAAAGCCCAACCATCCGGCAGCGGTCGCTACGCCCACGGGCGCGCCGCCAACCCTCCACGCATGCCTAGAACTTCCGGCCACCGATGCCCCACCCGCGGCACACGCCGCAGCCCTTGCCGCCGCAGTGGTGGCACGACTGGCGGCGGCAGTGCCCGCAGCCGACGCCGCCGCAGCGGTGGCACGAGGACCTACGGCAGTGGCCGCAGCCGACGCCACCGCAGTGGTGGCACGAAGACCTACGGCAGTGCCCGCAGCCGACGCCGCCGCAGTGGTGGCACGAAGACCTACGGCAGTGCCCGCAGCCGACGCCGCCGCAGTGGTGGCACGAGGAGCGGCCGACGGTCAGACCGCAGCCGACTTCCTCGTCGCACTCAAAGCCGTGGCAGGAGGACCTACGGCAGTGCCCGCAGCCCTTGCCGCCGCAGTGGTGGCACGACTGGCGGCGGCGGCAGTGCCCACAGCCCTTGCCACCGCAGTGGTGGCACGAGGACCTACGGCAGTGGCCGCAGCCCTTGCCTCCGCAGTGGTGGCACGAGGAGCGGCCGACGGACAGACCGCAGCCGACTTCCTCGTCACACTCAAAGCCGTGGCAGGAGGAGCGGCGGCAGTGCCCGCAGCCGACGCCGCCGCAGTGGTGGCACGAGGACCTACGGCAGTGCCCGCAGCCGACGCCGCCGCAGTGGTGGCACGAGGACCTACGGCAGTGCCCGCAGCCGATGCCGCCGCAGCGGTGGCACGAGGAGCGGCCGACGGTCAGACCGCAGCCGACTTCCTCGTCGCACTCAAAGCCGTGGCAGGAGGACCTACGGCAGTGCCCACAGCCCTTGCCGCCGCAGTGGTGGCACGAGGACCTACGGCAGTGCCCGCAGCCCTTGCCGCCGCAGTGGTGGCACGACTGGCGGCGGCGGCAGTGCCCACAGCCCTTGCCACCGCAGTGGTGGCACGAGGAGGTGGCGCACTCGTCGTGGCAGTCGGCGGTGCACTCGTAGCTGGAAAATGGAGAGGGGGGGGGGGCGAGATGGGGAGGATGGGTGGGGTGGGTACGGGGCGACAATAGGAAAGGCAATAATGGGGGGGAGGGTGGAGGGTGGGGGGTGGGAGGGGGATTACACGTGCGTGAGTTTGGTTTGACTTTCATGATGAGTCTGTACGGTACATCGAAGGACGTAGCGCAGCTGGATTGGTGTATACTGTATAGGCTGCCCGGTGCAAAGAATTAATTGTGGCCCCCCTGTGTCCTGTCACTTTCACCCTCCCCTCCAGCCCCCTCGGAAGGGATCTTGTTGTCACATGAGTGGTTCACGACGTGTGCACACTAGAGCTGAGTTGAAACGATGGCTATACTTTTTTTTTTGGGGGGGAGCTCAAATATAAAGAAAAATATTAAGTGGTTTCGAATATTTTTCAAGTTATTTCACTCGACTTCATGGTTTTGGTGGCAAATTGCAGCTCTCTTTAACCCCTCGTCGGACATCACTAGAATACAGCAGAACCCCTCTTAGTGATCACCCCTGTTAACAATTAATCGCTTAACGACGGGCCTCCATCGAGCCCAATGTGTAGTGTATAGTGTAGTGTAGAGCAGTGTATAGTAGTGCAGTGTATTGCAGTGTAGTGTATAGTAGTGCAGAGTAGAACCCCTCTTAACGACCTCCCCTGTTCACGACTAATCTCTCACCGACCATTGCCCTGTTAACGACGGGCTGTTGTAGGTACAGTAAATATTAATTAATGTATTTGTAGTGACATCGCTGGATGTCACCATGCTGTAGGTGTGCCCTAGAGGGCACGGTGTGTGTAGTGACATCACTGGATGTGACCATGCTGTAGGTGCAGTACCGGCCCTAGAGGGCACGGTGTGTGTGTAGTGACACTGCTGGATGTCACCACGCTGTAGGTGCAGTACTGGCCCTAGAGGGCACGGTGTGTGTATAGTGACACCGCTGGATGTCACCATGCTGTAGGTGCAGTACCGGCCCTAGAGGGCACGGTGTGTGTGTAGTGACACTGCTGGATGTCACCATGCTGTAGGTGCAGTACTGGCCCTAGAGGGCACGGTGTGTGTGTAGTGACACTGCTGGATGTCACCACGCTGTAGGTGCAGTACTGGCCCTAGAGGGCACGGTGTGTGTATAGTGACACCGCTGGATGTCACCATGCTGTAGGTGCAGTACTGGCCCTAGAGGGCACGGTGTTTGTATAGTGACACCGCTGGATGTCACCATGCTGTAGGTGCAGTACTGGCCCTAGAGGGCACGGTGTGTGTATAGTGACACCGCTGGATGTCACCATGCTGTAGGTGCAGTACTGGCCCTAGAGGGCACGGTGTGTGTCGAACTGAAGGGAAAGTCAGGTAAGGCCATGACAGCCTGGTTGACCCGGGAGGACACGTGACCGGTTAGAATGACAGAGGGGCCGCCAAGAGGGGGCTGAGAGTCACGTGATGAAACCGAGGTTCTTCGTGAAGGATCTGGAAAAGGGGCGTGGTCAGGGGTGGAGTCGGCCACGCCGGAGGAAAATATAAGCCGAGTCCCGAGAGGGAGCTGGGCTGTCCGTCCCGCTGAAGAAACCCTTCGTGTCCGATTTTCAAGTCCTAAACCCACTACACATTGATTAACCGTGCTTATTTTAATATAACGTGTTTATAATGTTGTTCGTATCTTTACGTTTTAAATATGATAAAGTACGTTGTTTTGGGTGAAAAGGGGGTAACTTTTGATGCTATCGGAACGGTTTAAGGCTTTGACGTGCATTTCCTAGACTCGCTTAACGACCAAATCACTTGACCGTTTTCGTGGAACCAATCACCGTCGTTAAGAGGAGAGGGTTCTACTCTTGCGTATTCAACAAACACATACGCACACATTCATTGGATTAATGGAATGTGTTGAATGGAGTCTGCTGGGACTTCAAATGCCACCCCGGGTCGATCATAATCATCACACAGAGGTGGATAAGATTGTTATCAAACGTCACCCACTGCCATTCGTCACTAAGTGGCGGTAACGTCAGCACTGCGCTTGTGCCAGGCTGTGTGCACTTTAAGGCCACGTAAAGTGTCGAACGCCCGCTGACAGGAGGTCACAGGGCAGACCCAGCAGGTGCCATGGGCCGACTGACTGAGATGAGTGGCCGATGCACCACCTGTGCCCCCTACTGTGCCAACCTGCTGTGTTTTAACCGCCCAGCGCTCCGCTCGTTCTGAGCGTCGCTCCTCCGCCCTCCATTGTTGATGGAGGGCGACTGCCTTCAACTGCCCAGTAGCAGCGTCCTTCACGAGCATCCTCCACAGAGGTCGATATTGACACCGCTGGCACCAGTTAATTAGCAAGTCCACTCAGCTCCACCTCCTCTCACACCACATCACTCCATCTCTTCTCTGGCCCGTACCGTGCCCATTCAACCCTCTCTATCCGGCATTTATGACTCTTCCCAACGAGACACAAATTACACAGTGTCTGACAGATTAACACGAGCCATTGATGACGTTACCCTTGATATTACCCATGGTACACCAGTCATCGCAACGTACCATCCACCGCGCCACACTCCACGTCACTCACCACCCATCACGGAGAACACTGTCCATCACATCGCCCGTGAGGCTCATCAGCTATCGCCCATCATTCGGCACCCATCAATGCTCACCACACATTACTCACCAGCCATGGAACACCGCGCAGATTACCACCACCCATCACCACTCCACCCACCGCACCGCCGCACCACACACCACCCGTTTACAAATGACCGCGCCGCACACACACACACACACCGCCCATCATCACGCATTGGCACCAATAACTCCGCTCACCGTATCACACCACGCCAAACATCTCGTGCAGCCTGTCACGCACCTCCACCACCCATCATCACGCGACCCATGGCACCTCGAACAGGCACGCACCACACATCCCACGTCACCCGTCGTGGTAAACATGTTAACGTTGGGGCCAACGTTGCTCCAAACGTTGCTCCAACAAGCGCGTGCCAACTTTGCCCCCTACGTTTCTCGCACCTCCGATCGGCGCGGTTGGCCGTGCACATTTGCTCAACGTTGTCCCAACGTTCAGCCAAAGTTGGCTCACCGTTGAACCAACGTCGTCTCAACGTCGAGCCAACAACGTTGGCCCAACGTTCAGCCAACGTTGAGCATGCCGCTGTACACCGGGGTTCACACCGGCCAGGTCGCACGCACGGAGTCTCACCTGGCCATCTTGGTGGATGCGGAGGAGTTTGGAGGAGATTGAAGGTGGCGCGGAGGTTCTTGCTGGAGACGAGTTTCGCCGGTGAGAGGTCAGGAATCTCGCTGTGTGATCTCGCCTCTGTGCGACTCGATGCATTTATACCCTGGCCAGAGACTCGTCACCACTACCACCACCACCGTCAGCAGCCGCCGTCACGCGCCTCGCCAAAATTGCCCACTCATTTTATGTAATTGTGACACCTAAACAGGCCACTTCCTCTTAATTGCGCCCCGTGAGCTATTTTCAAGTGTTGTTTATTTTTTTTTGTAATTCGTCTTCACGAGAGAACACACACCCCTGGGTGGTGCGGTGAGCTGACTGCATCTATCGCAAATTAACTATAAAAAAAATCACTCAAACACACTCGTCAATAACATCGTGGCCCCAACAAAGGAACGCGTTGCATAATAATAGGCGACGTTTCGGACAATGTCCCTCCTTCATAGCAAAAGAGAGCAAGCGAGATAAAGTGAATACAGGTTGGGGACTGCATGATACCACCACGGCCCTGGTATAAATGTAAATATTCAAGTAAATACACTATCGCGATACATATTCTTGGTTCTTTCGGTAAAGTCACGTTGAAGGGAAACAATAAAATAATAAAATATATATAAAACAATAATTGTATTGTTTTATATATATTTGATTGTTTTTATATATATTTTAAATTATTTTATTGTTTCCCTTCTACGTGACTTTACCGAAAGAACCAAGAATATGAATCACTGCAGTCACGAAAGCTTTAAATCAAAATTTTATCGCGATACAATATGATATTTTCACGATTATCGTGATATAATTTCCCCCCGTAACTTTGTAAAGTGCATTTATCATATGAAACGTATTTCGTGTTGGTGCTTTTTCTGTATTTTCCACTAATAACGGTGATTTACTTAAACGTCACTTGAAGTGAAGTTTACACAAAGGGTTGTAGAGGGTGGTTGGGGTTTGGGTTGCCACCATGGTTTTGCCTGGATCGTTTATGATGGTGTTGAGGATGATGGTGGTGGTGAGGATGGTGGTGGTGGTGAGAATGATGGTGATGGTGAGGATAGTGGTGGTGGTGGTGAGGATGGTGGTGAGGATGATAGTGGTGTTGGCGGCGAGGATGATGATGGTGATAGTGGCAGTGAGGCTTAAGGTAGATCTCTGGTGGTGGTGGGGATGATGATGGTGGTGGTGGTGAGGATGATGAAAGTGGTGAGGATGATAATGATAGTGGTGGCAGTGAGGATGATGATGGTGGTGAGGATGATGATAGTTGTGGTGAGGATGATGATATTGGTGAAAGCACCGGTGAGGATGATGATGGTGGAGAGGATGATGATGGTGGTGGTGAGGATGATGATGGTGGTGAGGATGATGGTGGTGGTGAGGATGGTGGTGGTGATAATTTACTTGAAGGGGATTTAACTGAATTTTACTAATCATAAGGCAGCCGTACGTGTTCTATTAATTGCAGCTGTACAATCTGTAACTCTCATAACGGACATGGTGTCAGTCAACGCAAGGGATAAAGAATGAACTACGTGATCTTGGAAAACGAGGTCGAAGTGGCAACGTTCATGTCAATTACTCCGGACAAATTTTCCTTAAAAAAACCCCTATTTTTTGACGGTTAAAATAGCTACCGCATTTTTATTTCCACCTTTAACCATCGTGTTTGTCATTTTGGGAATTGTTTTTTAGGAGTCTGGAAAGTAAATATTCAAGAGAGCAATAATGTTCACCGTGCCGTA